GGGGGGGGGGGGGGGGGGGGGGGGGGAGTTTAAAATCTAGTTGGGAAGGCAAGACTGTAAAAAATAGTGATACTCACCAGCAAATGTAGGACTATGCTATATAAATTCTCTTGAAATTCAAAGATGTAATTGTGTAAAACATAGAATTTGAAATGGATTTTGAATAGAGTTTGAATAGATACAAAACAGGGCATTCCAAGGGAGATGCCTGGAAATGAAATTGAAATGGTACAACAGACAACTGACCTTTTGTTAAGTTACAGAGAATGAGTTTAGTTAGGTAATATGGAGCCAGCTTGTGGAGTGGTTTAAAGCTAGGTCATGGAGTTTACATTGAAGCAGTCATCATAATTCATATAGGGAGATGATCTGGTTATGCTTTCTTAAACATTTATCTTTAGATAGTACTGCAGGCAATTCCAAGGGGTGAAGATGGATTAGCTACACTGAGGACATATCAACCAAACCTGCAGTCTTCCAATGTGCAAATAGGCAGTAGGTTTGGTTTTGCTTTTTATTCTATAAGCTCCATGAGTGCTGAGATATATCTGTCTTGTTTATCTCAGAGTCTCCAGCATCTCTTTGTATTTTTTAAAATATGTTGCAGCGCTTATTCCATTTCTCTTTAGTTGCTGAGAAGAGAATGTTGTTGGGTTTTTATGACCTTTAATTCAGCGTGTAGAGTAGGATGAAGAATTGGACACTAGTATGGGCTATAAACGTATACCAGCAACCTACCTGCTTTTGTTCTTTGACTCTGTTGTGACCTAGTATAAATAATTTTGTGTATTTTGGTTCCCTCTTAATTCCTTTCTTAGCAAGGTAAATGCAGTATTGAAGAAGTCTGCTCACTTTTTTCTATGAGCTCAAAATTAAGTAACACATATAAAGACACACATAGTTGTCTTTTTATAAGCATATTCAGGACTTTGTTAAGAGAATAAATATTAATAAAAGTGGTAAAGTGGTTCATGTCTATCGTATTTTTCTGATTATTGGTCATCTCGATTTAATTTATAAATTAATATTATAACTAGAGAAAAGATTGCATTATATAAATTATAAAAAGTAACTTTCAGAGAGGGTGCTTGTATGAAATACTCAGATTTAGGATACTATCTATACAAAATATGAATTTGAATTCAATTATAGTATTTTATGTCATTGAGTTTCACAAGAGTTGTATATCTCTTACAGGAAGCTTTTGTCCAGTGATCGAAATCCACCAATTGATGACTTAATAAAATCTGGAATATTACCTATTTTAGTTCATTGTCTTGAAAGAGATGACAAGTAAGTACATTATTTAAAAAGAAAAAAAAAAATTGGAAGGTACCCTTTGGAGAAGGTAAGATTTTCAAGCGGTTAGTTTGACCTTAATGGAAAAAGAAAAAGACTATGAGATGGATTGAAAAGTCAAAATGAAAAACAATACAAGGTTATATTAATGACAAGAGATGAAATGTAAAGGCCAGTGAGGAACTTGAGAATGACAAGTTTAACTTTTAAGCTTTGAAAATTAGCAAAAACTAGTTTTTCCAGGTAGGTACTTGAGAAAACTGGGTAGTAATGTGGAAATGTCTTAATAAAGAGTTTTGACTAAAAATAAGAAGGAAATATGAGGAGATCGTATGCTTTTTATAGTGAATAGATGTTTTAAACAGTTGGAGGTTTAAAAAAATTCTGGATGGATAGATACTTTTTGAAACAAAATATTTAATACATTTAAAATACTAGAGGGGAGGAATGGTTGATAGATATTTGGGCCAATGTAAAAATCCCTACTGTTGAAAATTATTTGGTTTTTTTTGCAGTCCTTCTTTACAGTTTGAAGCTGCATGGGCTTTGACAAACATTGCATCTGGAACCTCTGAACAAACCCAAGCAGTAGTTCAGTCCAGTAAGTTGGTATTATCATTATGATTTTTTTTAAAAAGAAGTCAGTAAAAAAATAAACATTCTCCTTAAAGAAGAGATAGCTATAAAATAATAGCTATCCAGTAATATATAGGGATATTGAAAGAGGCCAACTTAAGTATGTTACTTTAATCATCTTGTTCCGGTGACTGACATTTTCTGTTTCCAAAAATTCATTTGATTCCTTTCTAAATCTGAGAACATTTCCTAATAATAGTAGCAGATTACATTATTGTAGTTACACTTTATTTATAGGACATCAGTAGAAATAAAGGAGTTTTTCCCATTGCCATACTGCCTCTCAGCCTTTCAGTGAGATTTTTATCATAAGTTTCTTTAAATCTTCTGTAAAGTTTCCTATTGAAAAAATGGTTTTTGTTTGTGTGGTGTTTTTGTTTTTGTTTTTGTTTTGATTTTTTGCAGCTGGCCAGTACAGGGATCTGAACCCTTGTCCTTAGTGTTATAACATTGCAGTTTAACCAACTAAGCTAATTGTCCAGCCCTTGAAAGAATAGTTTGAAATGTTTTCCATTGTTATTGTAATAGGATTGCTTTTCTTTTATGTTTCCGGAGATGTAAGTGGAAAATTATTATTGGAAGTAATAATCTAAGTGTATTGTTTTCATGAATACTGTTTGATTCTTCTACCAAACAAAAAAAGTTAATTTTACAGAAGGTACTTTTAAATCCACCTTAAATATGGAAGCAGTGTACTTGTCTAAGCCTGTTAAAATTGTAAGCACTCATTTCTACATGATTTTGAAAGGGAAAACAAAGGTTTTATCCAAGTAAGAAATTTATTATGTAATACTTGTGTTACAGTATTACTAGAAAAGATAATTATCTTAAATCCTACTAAAACTGGTTTCATTTTGGGTTCAGGTGGGGTTTTTTTGTTGTGTTTTTTGGGGGATTCTGTTTTGTATAATTGACTGTTAGGTAAATTTTATTGTTTCATGACATCTTATTCGCTCTCACTCTTTTTCCTTTCTGTTTCATGTGGTCTTTAAAGATTTGAAAGAGGCTTAGAATTTGTTTTAACACTGCTAGTCTGTCTTAATATACCGAAAACAATAGATAAATGAATTATTTTAAGTAAGCATGATTGATCTACATATACTTAAACAGTGTTTTTCAAAGTAATTTCAGAAGGAAGGAAGAAGAGTCATTTGTTCAGTGCAGTATTATTCTGTTCAGATACAGACCTGTCTGTGTTTCCCATTCTTGTTGAGCAGCAGAATCACTTTCTTAATCAGAGGGTGTCATGTGACTCAGGAATCACTGGTCTGTCTAAAGACCCACATGTTAATTTAAATTTCTCTGTTCAAAAGTTATTCAATAATTGGACTTTTATTTCCAAATTTGAAGATAATATTTAATCTATAAAGAATTAATCTTAAAAAAAAAATCTTAAGATTGGAATGAAATCCAGGTTTAATTGTGAATAAAATTTTATGACTTTGATGTTTGTATGTTAAAACTCATTTTGATGCTAAATAAGTAGTCTGCTAGTCAAAATTCTTTCAATAATGTTATTCTAATAAAAAATTACTTAATGAGGATATATTTTTAAAACATTTTTTATTTTTTTTGAGGTCTTACCAAAAAATCAAGATTGATTTTTCGTTTAGAGTATAGTGTCTTAAACCTTAAGTGTTAACTTACATTTTCCTCCTTCAGATGCTGTGCCTCTTTTCCTGAGGCTTCTCCATTCACCCCATCAGAATGTCTGTGAGCAAGCAGTTTGGGCATTAGGAAATATCATAGGTTTGTATAAAACTTGTAGTACTGGTTCAGCAATTGTTGTTATCATATACTAGGTAATAAAAATAACCACTAGTAGTTGAAAAGGAAAAACAATTTGCCTTCAGTACTAGTTTTTGAGAAATAGCTTACAGAAATTTTAACTATAACTATGTAAATATAAAGCCACAGGAAATAGAATGGAAATTTTTGTTGCTTAAGATACTACACCCTGGTCCGGTACGGGGGCAACACTGAGGGTTGCGATCCGTTGCCGGACACGGAAAAAACACAAAAAAAAAAAAAATAACGAGAAAAAAACCAAAATCCTCTGCAGAAGGTAGTTGCTCAATATCACTCAGGAACAGGATTTCCTGGTGTGGCAGGAAAATTCCTGTAACAGTTAAGAATTTAGAAAGAATATTGCTTAAACAGCAAAGAAAAAAAAATTGGTTGTACATTCATATCGGTGGCTTTAATCACCATTGGTGATGTAGCTTATGGAAACGAAAGGATACTACATCTTTTTGTAGATAGTCAATTCTTAATTATTTGGATAATTATGAGAAATATGTATACGATTTAGACCTTTTCCTGTTTTATGCTGGGATCCATTTTATTTCTCAACTCTCTCCATCAGAGAAAGTAATAAGAAAAGAGGAGACAAAGCTTAAACCAACAATTTTTGTTCATAATGGCAGTCTGAGAAGAGTCTGAAATGAAATTTTTTATCTCTCTTCATTAAAATTCAGTAATGTATAAAATATAGTAATATTCCCTATCACCATTAATCAAAAGGAGGTATCTGTAGCTTGTTGACAATCTAGTTATGTGTTGAACACCATGATTACCATAGCTTTCAGGTTTTCTCTGATAAATATTTATAAGAAGTATAATTAAAGACAATTCTAATATTTGTTTTTTAACTAGAGCCTAATTTAATGTAAACCAGAAAGTTTAAAGAACTATTCTCTGGTATAGAATGGAAAAAATAAGGGGGTCTGAATTATTCTGCCCCTGATATAGCTCAGAGACCCTACCTATTGGGGGTGCAGGTTGGGCTGCTTTTTCTAGGGGGACTCACTATTTTGGTAAAGGAGAAGGATTCTAAAGATTATTTTTGCCACAGATCCTTTATTGTTCTAGCATGGCAGCAATCAGTATTGCTTTATATATCTCTTCTTTATTACCTTTCTAGAGGAGGATGGTTATGAGTTTTCAAGGGAGTATTTCTAAACTGTTTTGACAATAGGGTATAGTGCTCTTAGGAGTGCAATTGTTTATATACCCAGGGTTCCTCACTCCTTTGCTTTTCTACCATATTGTAGATTTAGAACCGCTAAAGTAGCATCTTGATCTTTAGTTTTTGATTCCAGTGACATTCTGAAATTAATGAGAATGCATGTATACAGAAAGAGCTAGCATTTTATTTCCAAGTATTGTAGTGTAAGGAAAGATGTTTTCACTTAAGGATGGTTTCATACTGGAAATTACAGTAACACTCTAGATGCAGAAATTAAACTTCAGCTCTCTATGGCAGTGGTTCCCAAACTTTAGTATACTATCAGAATCACACAGAGGGCTTCTTAAAACACAGAGTCCTGGACCCATAGTTTCTGCTTTAGTAAGTCTGAGCTAGAGACCCAAATAACATTGAAAACCACTGCTCTGGGACTATGGTTCTCCCTTTTTTTCTGACATAGTCTTCTAAGTGAAAAGAGTAACTTATAGTGCATACTCTGATGCTTTGATATTGGACCATAAGTTCTATAAATGTTTTCTCTTTGACAGTAATTTGATATATCTTTTTAATTACATGAAAGTATGTTAAACTGAAAGTACCTTTGATAGAGAAGGTAAAAGCAACAGTTCTGTGCTCACAAATTATTATAAAGAACACTTAGACTTCCAAAGTTTAGAGGTGTCAAAACATTTTATAAGTGAGCAGCTTATAAAGCTAAAGATGTGAATAATGTGCCAAAGAATACCTTGCACCTTATGTTGCTTCTCTTGGCTCAGAGACCTAGAATGTGAACTTGGTTATTATTGGCTAAAACTTTTACATAAAACTGAATAGTGTATCTGGTTAAAATATAGGAAGCACATATTGTACCCAGGGCTTTATGTTTTTTTTGAAAATGTTTGTTGTCAATATATTTTACTGAATTAATAAATTCTTCTTCCTATAGGTGATGGGCCCCAGTGTAGAGATTATGTCATAAGTCTTGGAGTTGTGAAACCTTTACTTTCTTTCATAAGTCCATCTATTCCTATAACATTCTTAAGAAATGTTACTTGGGTTATGGTCAACTTATGCCGTCACAAAGACCCACCACCACCAATGGAAACCATTCAGGAGGTAAACAAGTTTTTAAAAAAAAAAAATTAAAGTAGATACCATTATGTGTATGCTTTTGTCTATGTACATTTTAAAATCTATGTATTTCTCTCCTCAGATTCTTCCAGCCCTTTGTGTTTTAATCCATCACACAGATGTAAATGTGAGTAATTGCTTCCCATCATATATATATATATATATGTATGTGTGTGTGTGTCTAGGACTCACCCTGTGACAAAGGGGAGTTATACTAAGACATCATGTCAGTGCATTCTCTATTAGATATTTCCATTTCAAGAGGTGTAGCACGTATTTGGTATTTTTACATTTACTATGTTTGCCTATGTCACAAAACAATTTCAGTGAAGAAATCAAGCCTATTTTTTTTTCAGTTTGGGCAATAAGATACATGTATACGTGTTAGTATTGTAAAAACTCATATCGAAAGATTTTAAAGTTGCTAGTTAGTGATTTCTCTCACTAAGATCATGTCTTTGATCGTTTGTGAGCTTTTTATGGAAGCCCGTTTTGACAGCCTGGCCAATAAAAGCACATACACATTGTAGTGTTTTTGTTTTTTGAAAGATAAAAAAGAGAAATGTTTATGTTTATAAGCACAGGTTTGTATTCATATATGTGTACTAAACAATGAACATCAGTTGCACTTTAATTCCATTTTTACTCTATTTCTTCAGTTATGGTGACTTTGGTAGTGGCTTCATTTCCTGTAGAGAGAACTCTTGATTATATGAACAAGGGGTAAAAATCAGTACGGACAGGATTTTAAACATAACGCATATATATTGCATATTCTTACTAACACAGATGGCAAAGTAAAAAGCAACTCAGGGAGTATGAATGAGCTGGAAAACTGCCCTTACTGCTTATAAAAAGCCAGACTAGCTTTTGGTATGTAAGAGAAACGAGGAATAAAATGAGTAAGACAAAACACATGAATGAAATGTATAGCAACAATCAGGAACTCGTGTGGTTCTTTAAAAACAGTTTGGTGACCTCTGTTTGATGAGCTACTTTCTTGCATTTTTTTTTTTAATCAGCTTTATTTCTTTACAGTTTCTAGGGTTACACCTTTTTGCCAGAATCTCTAAAGTATATGGAGCAAATTAAAGTTAGGATTATACTATGTCAAGCATTGACGTAATTAATGTACAGAATACATCATCTCGGCTCTCAAGACTTTTTTTAAGCTCCATAGTCTAGGATCTTAAAAAAAATATGTAAGCAATTTTTGTTTTTGGATCCTTATAGCAAAGTTCTTTGATTAGATTATCAATTTCAATATTATGCTTTTAAAAGATTTGCAAGAAAGATTATTCTCAAATTATACCTCTACCAGAAAACCAGACATCTTTGGTGGCATTTTTCAGAGATACATTGAGTTCTTTCCATCTGTTTCCCCCAGTCTACATGAGATTATGACTGTTTTTTTTGCTTTTGATGTATCTTGAAAAATTTCTCATCAGCTTGCATTGCTCCTTTGAGTACATGTTTAATAATATTGTTTAGTAAATGTTTATTAAAAATAAAATCTTTTTAGGTAAACATTTAGCAGCAAGTTCTTAAGTCAGGCCATCAAAGAGATTAAAATACATATATATATATATATATATATATTAAATCTGCTTTCACAAATCATAAGTTAAATACTGACATTACACTGTAGTTGTTGTAACGTGTTTTAGTAAACTTTGTCTTATACGAAAAGTACGTATGAGATCTAGTATGATGTGAATAGTGATTTTGATATGAGCATATTAATGACATGTTTAGCATTGGGCCTTTAAAGTGTCTAGTTTTATGTACAGTCATGAGTATGTAACTTGAAATTTTTTGTCTTTGCCAACAAATTTTAGCATATGTTGATACTCCAGAAAAAGAACTAGTTACATTTGCAAATTGAAATTTAGTTGTTTTACATGTTGGTAACACTTTATTTGTGTGAATTATTTCATTTAATGTCTTCTTTTTACATTAAAAATATTCTTAGAGCTTTCTTGAGTTTCTGAAGGAACAATGGCAAAGTGCTGTTTTCTCCTTTTAAGAGCTTCTTGAGTGTCTTAAATATAACATTGGTTTAGAATTTTAAAGGTTTTAAACTCTGTGGCTTGTCTTTTGACATAGAGTTCATATTCTAGAAAGACTTTAGAAGTAAAGTTCCAGGCACAATTATTATTCATGTGTCTTTGTCAATAATTATATTGCTTATATGCATCAGTTTAACAGTCGTTTGTCATACTGTCCTTTGGCTATAACTTGTAATAAGGACTTAACATACAAACATACAAAGAAAGATCATGTACATGCTAATTACAGAGGCTTCCTTTAAAAAAAAAAACAGCTGGTGTACAGTGTATTTTTTTGTTATAGACCTCATAGGTTGACCTATGATTGCTTTTTAATGTCTTGATGTCCACCTGTGGGGACCTGTACTATTTAGGAGGTTGCCTCCAATTTTATAAGGCAAAGTAAACTGGTTGGAAAATGTTAACTACTATAATACTAATACTGAGGTATTGGCTTTAGGCATACCTATGTTACTGATAATAGTAGAGATCTTCTTGAATACTAGCCCAGATGTTTCCAACCACTGGGCATGTTGGATATGTATAGTCTTCCCAACTATATACATTTTCCAAAATGTCATTGGAACTGTTATCCCTCAGCCTGAGCTTTTGGGAAAGAGAATGTCTTTTTCCTGTCTCATGTGCTATAGTGTATTTTAGTGAATTAAGATTGAATAGTAATCTGGAATCAGGACCATAATTAACATAAATATCCTGAATATGGCTAAAAGATGTACATACTTAATACAGACATTCATAGGTAATGATATTTAATACAACAGAGATCAAGATTCTAATGAATTGAGATGAGAGAAGAAAGGAAGAAAGATAGTAGAACAATTGGACTAGTTGTATGGTTAAGAACTACTAAAATGAGAAAATATTCAAAAGCTATTTGAATTTTCATTTTACTTATTAGATATTGGTAGATACAGTCTGGGCCCTCTCTTACCTTACTGATGCTGGCAATGAACAGATACAGATGGTAATAGATTCTGGAATAGTTCCTCATTTGGTTCCTCTGCTCAGCCACCAGGAAGTTAAAGTCCAGGTAAGTTTGTTCTTGATAAAATCATAAGTTTTTCTTACCAGTCATTGCTTTAAGCATGGCATTCAAAGATGGACAATTTCAATAGTTTGAAGTATATTCCTAACGTATCTGTGATTGAAAGAATGAGTTATTTTGTCACCATTTTAAAGAGGGGGAAAATGAGGTAAGAGTTCAAGAATTCTTCCCCACACCCCCCCCTCCCCCCCCCCAGTGCCAGAAGAAACAAACAGGAAAACTCGGTCATAGATTACAGATTTTTAATGTAGCCCAGGGCAGTTCACTATGTCAGCTTGGGCGGCATCTGAAACGAGTTTTGATGCTTTATTTTAACTACTACTCTTCGTAGTTTTCTTACTCTTTCACTCTCCTGCTCTTTCCTCCCACCCTCCCCAACTGTCCTTTTTTTACTCACCTGTCAAGTTTAGTTAACTCTTAGCTTCACTGGCACTGAGGTAAAGGCTTTGTACTGAAAAGTGCTGCTTAGAGGCTTCCTAAATTGTTTCTTTTCAATTATTTAAAATTTTTTCTCTAATTATTTTTAATAGTTTTTAAATCCTTCCATATAATTTTTATCCCAAAGAATCTTCATCTAGAAAGAGCCATAGAGAGACGGTGAGAAGTTCACACAAATATTAAGTGTTAATTGTCCAACTACAGTGGTAAAGGGAGGTGCAACAAGCTCTCCCTACCTTTCTGAGGAAAATACAAGTAGCATGTTTTAATCTGATAATTGCTTAGAGTTTATAAAGTACAGTAATAGCATAAAGGAAATTGTTAGCCTTAGTCACTATTTCTCAGCCCTGGCTGGACATCAAAATCAACTGTGGAGCTTAAAGAAAGAAAAATTTTTTAAATTTCCCTTGCTCAACCCCTAGATATTGTGTTTTAGTAAATCTGGGATATTTCTTAGAACCTGAGCTTTAAAAAGGTGATACTGATGTGCAGTCAGAATAATCCATTGACTTAAAAGTTAAAGCACTTTAAGGAAAGAGGGAACACTTAGCTAAATTCAGAAAGAATTGATTAATAGAATAGGTTGTCAGGGATATTTGTGACTTATTTTAAATATTCTTACTATATGTTTATCATTAAGTTTGCATTTCTTGAGTGTGGTACTTATGTCTTGGTATAAGTTTTTGGTTTGTATTTTTATTTTTTCAGAAGGTATCTTCAGTTCTAACACTAGACTTCTTTGAGAATATAAGACTTGGAATTTTCCTTTAGCCAGCACTCAAAGAAAGTTATCTTACCTAATAGCTAATAGAGTTTTTCTTAAACTTTTTAACTTACATGCCATAATTTAGGAAAATAAAGTAGTGTAATGAACTCCCATGTAGGTTTCTTCTATACCTCTACTGAGTCCCCCAAATTATTTTGACATAATTCCCAGATTTTACATCATTTCATCCAGCTTGCATCTCTAAAAATTAAGGCTGTTTTTTTTTAACAGGACCGCAATACCATGAGTGCACTTTAAAAAGCCATAATGTTAGGGCCGGCCTGTGGCTCGCTCGGGAGAGTGCGGTGCTGATAACACCAAGGCCCCGGGTTCGGATCCCATATAGGGATGGCCGGTTCGCTCGCTGGCTGAGCGTGGTGCTGACAACACCAAGTCAAGGGTTAAGATCCCCTTGCCGGTCATCTTTAAAAAAAAAAAAAAAAAAAGCCATAATGTTAAATATCCGGTCAGTATCCAAATTTTACTTATTGATTCATTATTTTTTTCTAACAGTTCGACCAAATTGATGTTCAGACAAAGTTCACACATTGTATGTGGTTACTGTGTCTTTTAACTTTCTGTTACTCTACAACTTTCTCCTCCTTTATTATTTTCTTTCCCTTTTTAAATTTATTTCTTAAAGAAGCTGGGTCACTGTAAAACATTATTGAAAGAAATTGGAATTGGAAGACTTAATATTGTTAGTATGGTAATGCTCCCCAAATTTATCTACAGATTAAATGCAGTTCCTATTAAATTCCTAGGTGCCTTTTTTGCAGAAATTTACAAGCTGATCTTAAAATCTTTATGGAAATAAAAGGGGCCCAGAAGTAGCCAACACAGTCTTGAAAAAGAACAAAGTTTAAGGACTTCTCTCTTTAAAAACCTACTACAAAGCTACAGTAAAGATTTTGTGATACCAGCATAAGGATAGACATATAGTCAATGAAATAGAATCAACAGTCCAGAAATAAACTCATACATTTATGATCAATTAATTTTCAACAAGTGCCAAGCCAGTTCATTGGGGAAAGAATAGTCTTTTCAACAAATGCTGCTGGTACTGCTGGATATCCACATGTAAAATAATGATATTGGACTCCTACCTCACATTCTATATACAAATTAACTCAAAATTGGTCAAACACCAAAATGTAAGAGTTAAACGTATAAACCTCATAGAAGAAAACAAGGGCATAAGTCTTCATGACCTTGAATTAGGCAGTGGTTTTTGAGATATGACACCACAAGCAACTAAAGAAAAAAAATTGACAAAATTTGACTTCATCAGAATTAAAAACTGCTTCAAAGGACATGGTCAAGAAAGTCAAAAGACAACCTGCAGAATGTAAATCATAAATCTGAAAAGGGACATCTATACAAAATATATAAAAGAACTCTTAAAATTCAAAAATAAAAAGACAATTCAATTTTAAAATGGGCAAAATATTTGGACAGTTGTCCATGGAAGACATACAAATGGCCAATTAGCACATGAAAAGATGTTCAACATCATTGATCATTAAGAAATACAAATCAAAGCCACACTAAGATACCACTTCACACCCTCCAGGATGGCTGTAATTAAAAAGACAATAACAAATGTTGACAAGGATGTGGAGAAATTGGAATCCTCATGCACTGCTGATAGGAATGTAAAATGGTGCAGCTGCTTTGGAAGACAGTTTGACAATATCTCAGAAAGTTAAACATAGAGTTATAATATGAACCAGCGATTCTACTCACAGTTATATACCCAAGAGAATTGAAAACACATATCTATGGAAAAACTTGTTCACAAATGTTTATAGCAGCATTATTTACATAAGTCAAAAAGTGGAAACAGTCCAAATGTCTGTCTACTAATGATGTTTAAGTAAAATGTGACACATTCATACAGTGAATATTATTTGGCCATGGAAAGGAATGAAGTACTGGTACTTGCTATAACATGAACTTTGACATTATGCTAAGTGAAAGAAGCCAGACGTAAAAGGGCGAATACTGTTTAATTTCATTTTTATGAAATGTCTAGAATAGGTTTATTCATAAAGGTATCATAGTGTTTTGCTAGGACATGGAACTGAGAGAAATAGGGGTGACTGCTCGTGGAAACAGGTGTTCCTTTTGGGGGTGATAAAATGTTCTATAATTAGATATTGGTAATGGTTGTACAATTTTTAATATACTAAGAATTATTGAATTATATACTTGGAAAGGGCAAATTTTATGTTATGTGAATTATATCTCAAAAAAAAAAAAGCCTGGGTCATTTTTCTTGTGGAGGGAAAAATTATAGAGAAAAGAAGCTATAACTTAGCAGGAAAGGATCTAATGCAACTACAGAAAAAATGATTGATAATGCAAAGTGATATGACAGTGAAATCTCATGTTTAAGCACTTTCCTGCTTTGCTTCAGAAAGGCACTATGTTTTGTTTTTAATTTCTTAAACTTTAAATCTAAAGTACTATCTTATTTTCTTTGTGGCACTAATTACTATCTATAAAATTATCCTCTTTATTTGTTCATTGACACTCTTCTCTTACAATAATGTAAGCTCCATAAGCTGGAACTTGTATCTGACCTATTCACACCCCTTTTTCCTAGACCAGTGCTTTTTGAGCCTAAAGTAGTGCTCAAAAAATATGGGTTAGTTGGAATAAAAGAATGAGTGAATAAATACATTTATTTTTCATAAGCTGTCTAACATACCATTTAATAAAGAGTATTTCACATAGAACAAATCTCATTAAATCTTTTTACATTTCAGACTGCTGCACTTCGAGCTGTGGGCAACATTGTTACCGGAACTGATGAGCAAACACAAGTAGTTTTGAACTGTGATGCTCTTTCACACTTCCCAGCACTCCTGACACATCCCAAAGAGAAAATTAATAAAGTAAATATTTTTAAATACTATTCAATAAATAGCATATAAAATATCAGCAATTTTCATTTGTAAAATTTGGGTGTCAGAAGTGTCTGATTTTGATTAATATGAACTGTCATTTAGACATCATGAGAAAAGAAAATATTTCTCTCTATATCACAGATTATTATATGATTTTTCCATGTATAACAATTGTAGAGTGCTGTTCTGGCTCTCTTGGAAATGATGAAATAGAGATAATTGGGTGTTGAATGTTGTATGATTGGAGATTTTTAATATGTATCCGTAAGTAATTCTAGGTTTGATATCTTATAAATACTTAATAGAGAGTGTGTGTACATGTGTATGTGCGCATGTGTGTGTGCTTGTGGCGGCTGTGGAAAGGGGGCACTGACTGGTGATGCTGATATTGGAGTGCATCTGAGGCTGTTGGAGGACCCAATAACATGGGTTGTTGATTACAACATTGCTGATGATTACAACTCAAGAACAGCTCACCTAACTGGCCCATCACCCTAAAATCTCTAACAGGTTCATTAAACATGATCCTGTGATCTGATCCAAAAGAGCCAATTGTACACTAGCTAATACTAATATTTTTTTGGAGTAAAGCTTGCTTTCTACTTTTTAAAAGTAGAGAAAATATTTCCCTTTAGTAAATTGGTAAATTTAATAATTTATTAAGTTTGGTAAATTATAGTAATATCCTACATAGGATTTTGAGTAGATATTTTGTCTTGTTTAAAGCTAACTGTGGTTTCAGTATGCATTTATTATCTATGAAACTTGTAAAACGCTTGGGAGAACCATCATACTGGCAAAAGTAGCACCATTATGGTGTAAAGGGTAACATAAAGAGATCATTAAGGTAGACCAGTAAAGCAATCAAACATCTGATTCCACTTTAACTCTTGAGAGAAATGGTACAGTGAATGACTATAATAAATAACTGTACTAAAACAGCACACTTTCATTTTTCATGTCTCCATATTGTGGATTATTGAGATTTATCTACTTTGGCTAGGACTCTTAATCAGAATAAAATAGAAAATAAAGCACATTATGTGAGGGAAGGGTGCTGCACCTCATTTACAACAGTTTTAGGATTTCTCTTTGTATTGTAGCTCGTCAGTTCCTTAGTATTTGTTCAGCCAAGTTTCTTTTGAGTCATACTGTTTGGGAGCATTGCTTTCAAGAATTCTTTGAAGGGTTAGCCATTGTGCCTTGGATTAGGGCTATTAGCAGTTTGTCCAAAGAAAATACGGAAAAGGGTGTAGAGGAATTCAGATTCATAAGATTTTTATTATGAAACTGATTCCATAGTAAAATCAGTTGGATAATGTAGGGAATGCTTTTTTTCCTAGTTCAGATGCAGATTTTATCTTTTAATGAGAAATATTGAAAGGTTCTTGTTCTACAGGAAGCTGTGTGGTTCCTCTCTAACATCACTGCAGGAAATCAGCAGCAGGTTCAGGCAGTAATTGATGCTAATCTTGTACCAATGATTATACACCTTTTGGATAAGGTAAGTAAATCATCTTATATATATCTTGAGTGAGGGGAAAGGGATTTAAATCAAACAGATTATGTGAATATGTACTTTTCTTTTTATTGAATTAAAACCTGCACAGTGGCATGAATACTACAGTAAAGTAGTGTTAATATTAAAACTTTTGAGCCCAGCAGATTTTATATACAAGAAACATTTTCAGGGGAAGCTACTGGTCCTTTTTCCTTATTATTCTTTTGCCAGAATTGCCATAACCCTGGGACTTACTAAAAGTTCATATTATTGATAACAAATTATTACATACTGTTCTAAGCACTTTACATATGTTACCTCATTTAATACAATAAACCTATAAGATTAGGAATTATCCACACTTGACAGATGAAGAAACTGTGGCATAAACAAATAAACTGCCCAAAATCAAATAGCAAGTAAGTGTGCTATAAATTGTGTGTCACATCATCTCTCATGCTCATATTAACATTTGGGAAAAAGATAATTTACAATGTCACAGTCACCGCATGAGCATTTTTTCTGACTACTGATCTATAGTTAAAGTGAAAATATCTCTGTATCTTCTATTCCTTTACGTTTTCTATAACTTGGTAGATCAGGTTTAGTTTTTTAGGCAAGAATACTTGAGGCATTATTCTGTACATTATAATGATTCGCATCAAGAGACCCACAATCAGTTTGTCCTATATCTAGTGATATTAAGATTGATGAGTGATCTCAGGTGTTATCAGCCTACTCCAGCTGATGGTGATAAAGTTATCCATCAATCTTTCACCTAATGGTTTTTAGGTAGTCATTGATGATCATTGCCTGGATCCCTTACTTTATTAGGAGTTGCAAAATGGTGACTTTCCCATTCTGTCATTCTTTATGTATTGGCCATGATTGTTCAGTAAAGAGATTTTCTTTATTGGTTACTCCGAAATATAGTTCGTATAGGAATGGCAAGATAACTGCTTAATTCTTTCTCCTTATCAGTTGTTTTTTAGAATGACATGATTCCCTAACAACCCTGAAAGGAGACCAGGGTGGATTTTTTAGTGTCATTAGGAAGTTAATTTTTATATATTTTGCAATTCTTAGTCCATTTTAGTTGTTACTCTTTTTGACACTCAAGTTGACTGTGACCAATGGGATCCTCTTAAAGTTGGTGCCTGTTTCTTTTTTTTACACACCTAGTAGTTTTTGAGACCTTCCTCAGTCTTTGGACATGACATGATTTCCAGGTTTATCTTGTATGTTTTCTGACCTAGACCTGGAATTAACTATTTCTTCAGGTGTCTTGATTCCTTTTTGTAGGGAATGGTATTTAAGAATCATAGTTTAGGTATAAGGATGATCATGGTTACAAGGTTGTCATTGTTTCTAGGCCTGAGTAAGCAAAATAAATGATAGGTATTTTTGCAGAAAGTGAAAGATAAATAATGAGTTCACAAACATGCGAACTCATAAGAAATAAATCATAAATGAAAGGAAGCTTTCAAATATTACTGGATATTAAAGATAATTTTTTATTTTTACTTCTTTGATTTTGTATTTGATTCTTTTTCTCTTATGCTGAAAATCCTCCTAAAAACATGAACATAATTACCTCTTTGCCTTATATATTGGAGTATATCCTAAAGACAAAGAAACCTGGTCCTGATTTTCAGCATAAGAGAAAAGAGATGCAAATATAAATATATTTTTATGTATTTATATATATAAATATGTAGTATGTCAAAATAACATGACCACATTGCCACTAACAGAAAAGATTTCTTTGAAATTTTTGACTTTAGGGTATATTCCATCATTGATGTACTTAATGTGTCACTTAAACAATTCTTCCATGTGTGGTTAAGCCACCAGTTTCATACACAGATTGTTTATTGTTGGGGGGAATTACTTTGGTTTTTTATTTTAATTTTGATTTTCTGGTTATATAAAGCCATTTATATGGTTTCCAAGTGAAAAATATATGTACCTTACTTTCAAGGTACACATATAGAGGTCTAGTTTCCATTTGTTTTTTACTCCCTATTCTCTGTCTTCCTCTACAGATAATCATTTTATTAGTTTTCTGTTATTTCTTTTTAAAATAAAAGCAAATACATATGTGTATGCTAATTTCTACCCCTTCTTACCCAGAAGGTAGCTTAGTATAATGTTCAGATGTTGCTTTTTTGTTGTTGTATTATAATAATATATTCTTGAGATCATTCCTATAGCACTATATATAGAGCTTCCTGTTCCTTATTTGTTTACTTTTTCCTTATTGCTTTTATAGCTACATAATACTCCATTGTATGGATGTACTATAATGTATTCACTCTTTTTTTTTTTTTGGACCAGTAAGGGGATCACAACTCTCGGCACAGTGTGCTCTGCACCACGCTCAGCCAGTGAGCGCACAAGCCATCCCTATATAGGATCTGAACCCGTGGCCTCGGCACTACCAGTGCCGCACTGTCCCGAGTGAGACATGAGGCCGGCCCCTAATCAATTATTGATGACATTTGAGATATTTCCAGTGTTTTGTTGTTAAATAGTACTTTAAAGAATAGCTTGTAAGTTTTCTCCATGTTTTTAACAGGTTATATTTGGGATTTACTGGGTTATGTTTGAGTAAACATATGTTAATTTTGCCATACAATGCCGATTCTCCTCTATAGGGATTATTATACCATTTTGGACTTCTACCAGCTTCCCTGACAAATATTTGGATTTTCTCAATCTGATAAAGATGAACAGATATCTCACTGCTGTTTTAATTTGCATTTGTCTTATACATGTTTTTTTTAATACATTAAAAGCATTTTTCAGGTTGCTTATTTTAATATTTAATAGCTGCTTATTTTATTCAGTAGATTTACTGTAATTAATTAATTATGCCCCTATTGAGAATTGTGGTTGCTTTCACTTTTTGGTCGCAGTACTACTGTGACCATATATAGAAAGATATATGATGTTACTTTGTTTTAAGTTATTCTCTTGGTAAATTCTTAAATGTGAGATTACTAAGTCATATGACTTTTTAAATGATTTTTAAATACACTTTTTCAATTTGTATTTGAAGGGCAATGAATGTATAGCATCTTTATCATAGTTTCATTAGTGGTAGGTATTATCATTTTTTAAACTTTGTTATGAGTTTAAAGGATATGTTATTTTGCTGGCCAGCTAGCTCAGTTGGTTAGAGTGAGGTGTTATAATACCAAGGTCAAGGGTTTGAATCCCTATACCAGCCAGCTGGTTGAAAAAAGAGGATCTGTTGTTTTAACTTAACTCTTTGTAGTGAGGTTGTAGACTTTTTCAAATTTTTCTTTACTAATTTTATTTCATTCATCATTGACTTCATTTAATCTGATGTTATTGAATAGTAATATCAAGTCAATTTGTTTCCAGGAGATCACACAAAGGAGTCTCCATATGTTTAGGGTAGATTGGGTATAGTTCACAGGTTTATCTTAGTAAGTAAAAGCTTTGTATATATATGTATATATATATAAAAGCTAGAAGGAAACCTGGGGAAATAAGCAGTTGAAAATCATTTCAGGGCCGGCCCGGTGGCGCACTGGAGAGTGCGCCGCTTGGGAGCGCGGCGGCGCTCCCACCGAGGGTTCGGATCCCATGTGGAGACCAGTTCCCGCTCACTGGCTGCGCGTGGTGCGGGCGTAACACCAAGGGTTGCGATCCGTTACCGGTCAGTAAAAAAGACAAAAAGGGAAAAAAAAGAAAATCATTTCAGAAAACATTTTTTCCAGTTTACCCCATATTCCAATTTGTAGACTTTTGCTTTGGTTTTTTACAGGGAGATTTTGGCACTCAGAAAGAAGCTGCTTGGGCCATAAGTAACTTAACAATTAGTGGAAGGAAAGATCAAGTAAGTTGAACTCATGTTTATTTCTCAAAACTGGTAAAATAACAGTATACGTAATTCTAAGATTTAGATTTAAGTAAATCATAATTTAAAATAATTCCAACAAAACACATTCTGATTTTTTTTTCATATAAAAGTATCACCTTGATTTCCTTTAGTCATATTCCATAGAATAGAAGTGTTCTTTTCCCAACTTGTTGGCCTACAAGAATTTTCTAATCCATAGTAAGATTGAGGCCACTATAGTCAGTATAGCCAGGGTTGTTCTTTTGTTTTTTGGTTTTTTACAGTTTTAAGAAAGAACAGACTTTTTTTAGGTTAATATTGCAGAAAGAAACTGGCTCACAGATTCTCCTAACAAGTAAACCACAAAAACTCTGCAAAACAAAAAAAAACAAATTCACCAGCAGCAAACCAAATAAAGAATTAAACTCAACTAGACTCAACCAAATGGCTGGGATTAGGAACTAGGGTGAGGAATGTGAAGTGCCTAGGGTGTAAAATTTAAAGAGGCACTCACTCTCGGGGTTGTGCTTGTGACAAAGCTTCTCATTGTGCCAGCTGGCAAAGGAACAGTAGATCTGTTTCACAGAGGTAAAAAAAAAAAGGGTGAATTGAAGCTGAGTGACAGTAAATTGATAACTCACAAGAAAGCTGTGGACTGGTGATGAGCAGTGAATCCATTCAAGTATGAACGCAGAGCAGGAATAGAAGTATAATGCATAGAAATAGTAACTAACAAAATATTAAAATTGGGCCGGGCCGGTGGCACACTGCTACAGTGCGCCGCTTGGGAGTGCGGTGGCGCTCCCGCCAAGGGTTCGGATCCCACATACAGACCGGTTCCCGCTCACTGGCTGAGCGAGGTGCAGGCGCAACACCGAGGGTTGCGATCCTGTTGCCGGTCCCGGTCCGGTGCGGGTGTGACACTGAGGGTTGCAATCCGTTGCCGGACATGAAAAATGACAAAAAGGAAAAATAAATAAATAAATAAATAAATAAATAAATAAATAAATATTAAAATGATTGGAAAATATTATGAAACCAATAGAATAGTGAATTGATAGGTGGCCATGCATATGAGAATGTGAAATGTTATAGCAAAGAGCCAGTGGATCCTGTCACATTGAACCATTGTAGTTTTTTAAAAATAACATCCAGCCTCTTAACTGATCTCATAATTTCTTACTCTTAAAGGGGAAAGGGTCTTTGAAGGAAGTATTCTTCATAGCAAAAAAATATTCAATATGAATTTGAGTGATTCTTTAATTTTCATTTTAGTTTTTTCCTAAATTCAAGAAAAATTTACTATATTTGAAAGAAAAGGAGGTTCGATTAATAATGTAGTCTAACTTAACATGTCAGAGATGAGGTCATGTTTCCATACTCAAAGTTTTAAAGTAAAAATTATTTCAGTGAGATAATATACACAAAGTTCGTGTACATTTTATTATTTCATGGTGTTTTTATTCTTCAGGTGGCCTACCTTATCCAACAAAATGTTATTCCACCTTTTTGCAACTTGCTGACGGTAAAAGATGCACAAGTTGTTCAAGTAGTACTTGATGGACTAAGTAATATATTAAAAATGGCTGAAGATGAGGCAGAAACCATAGCCAATCTTATAGAAGAATGTGGAGGTAAGTTTATTATAAGTTAGTGTTTCACATTTTAATGTTCTTTTTGTGACTACTTTTATTTCCTGACTAATGGAGCACCTCTGTATTTTTCTGTCTTAGATCATCAAGTAACAGAATAAAATAAATACTATATTCTATATTTATAGTCCTGCTCAGTCTCTTGCATATGCTTAGGTAACTGAATTGGTGCCATGTATTAAATAGGCACTGTACTGAGGTACTGGGAAAACAACGGTAAACAAGACACAGTCCTTGCCCTTAAGGCATGTAGTCTAGTCTTGAAAAGTATGAACTGATTTAATGTGCTAATTACCCTAATAGAAATGTACAACAAAATGGGATACCTAATCCATCCTGGAAGAAGCAGGAAGTGAAACCTGAGCTGGATTTTGAGAGATGAATAAGGATTAATAAAGTAAAAAGGGATGAAAGGTGATCCAGGCAGAGATAACACCATGAGCAAAGTCTGAGGTGAGAAATAGCATTCAGCAAATTATAAGTAGTTCATTGTTGCTGAATCACAAAGTATGGGGTAGAAACTACCAAGAGATGATAGCCAATAACCAGATGCCTCAAAGTCCTGTAAGTTTTGTAGCACAGCAGATACTTTATTCTATAAGGCAGTAGTTCCCAAATCTGGCTGTGTAGCAGAGCCACCTGGAATATAAACAAAACATATTAGCTTTCAACTCTTACAGACAGAAAATGGAAGTCTCAAATATGGTTGTGGAAATAATGTAAATGTTGTCAACCTGTATAAGCATAAAGGCAAGGTATTTCTGACAGAAGTTAAGAAGTGAGTGGAAGTAGAGGTAACTGCAAGCATGGGACAACCATGTCTTCAATTAAGTGGGGGAGGTCAAGAGGATGGAAAATTAATGTTATAAGAAGTTAGGCATATTTAAAGTTACTAAATTGACAAATTCTAACAAAAAATAATGCAGAACTATCAAGTTAGGAACAGGAGATGAGGAATAAATGTTAGGAAATTAAATAGGGAGTAAGTACCAGAAAAATTAACAGGCATAGTTAATTATTTTTCCTTCTTGATTTTTTTTTTACTAAAATATTTTTATATCTTAAAATAAAAAATATAGATTCTTGAGCACTGCCTAACTCCCTGGAGGTAAGACCCAGGAATCTTTATTTTATAAGCTCCCCAATGAATTTTGCCATAGAGTATGACAAAGCCTTTGGAAGATTTTACCAAGGGGACTGGTGTGTTTAGATGGAACATGGATATCTTGGGAATGGGGCCTTTGGAGACAGAAGGCATGGAGACCAGTTTGGAGAGTATATAGTGGTTAGGCCACAATAATTGAAGGCAGTAATAGAGGCAAAGAGAAGATGACAAGATTCAAAAAGTGGATAGACTTTGGAGTTTTTGAGATTTGATTGTGAGATATTGAAGAAAAGGAACATAGGCTTTCTTTCAGATTTCAAGCTATTGTTAATTATTACAAAGTAAGAATACAATTATAGGATGAACATTTCAAATGAAGAGGGCAAATAAACTGTGTTTGGGCAGTTTGAGTTTTAGGTACCTATGAAATATCCTGGTGAAATTATCATGCAGGCATTTGAATTTTATGTATGTGAGGCAAATGAAGCTATAGATTTTCAAATCCTCAGCCTGTATGTAGTAACTACATTTTTTTTTTTTTTGTCCTTTTTGAGACCGGCCGCACCGCGCTCAGCCAGTGAGCGCTGTGAGCGCACCGGTCATCCCTATATAGGATCTGAACCCACGGCGGGAGCGCTCGTGCGCTCCCAGCGCCGCACTCTCCCGAGTGCGCCACGGGCTCGGCCCAGTAGCTACATTTTTTAATGGAAGGATCCCTAAAAGGAGAGTGCGTAGAGGGAAAAATGAGCCCAAGATAACTTCCTCCATTTAAGGAATGAATAGAGGAAGAACACTTATGAAGGGTCAGTTTCACTTTATTTTAGAGGCCTTAAATTTATTACTTCTATAAAGTAAAACAAGATCCAATTTGTATATCAACAAGTAGATATATATATATACACATTCTTTTTAATGTTTCTGCCTATGATTTAATGAACTCATTAGTGTTTACAGGGAGAATTCACTTTTTCCCTGAAATACTGTGGTTGATCTTGATCATCTTCACGAATACTTAACAGGCGTCTTAAACTTCATGTTTATTAATCACCAGTATTTTTAATTTCTTTTTCATACATGCTCACTAGAAAAGCATGGCAGGTGCTAGAAAGTAGGAAGATTCTGCTTTTTACTTTTAACAAACAAAAGTAGTTTTACGTATTAGTACTCTATAAACATTGGCTATTATTATCCTGCTTAGTAGATGTCCCTTTGCTAACTTATATACATTTACATGCAGTAAGACACTGAAGTTGGTAATTTATTTTAAGAAAAATATGCTACATCTTTGTTCATAAAATCTCTGTATATTTAAGATTCACCTTCAGAGTAGATTCCCAAAAATTATGATCCAAAAAATTTGCAAACCAAAAATTGGATTATGTGTTTCCAAGATTATTCTAACTTGTCACTACTTTTTAAATATTACCATTGTTTCACTCATAAAATTTCTTGCAGGACTGGAGAAAATTGAACAACTTCAAAATCATGAAAATGAAGACATCTACAAATTGGCCTATGAGATCATTGATCAGTTCTTCTCTTCAGATGATGTATTTCATAATTTTATAGTTTTCTTAGTTTTATGTATAAATAAAAGTCTGGATGAAATAATGGTAGTAAGCTAGAGGATGTATGTATTTTTAAAAATGGAATTAAAATAGGTATGTGACAGTAATGTCATGGCTTTATAAATAAATATTTTAATATTTTAAAATTCCTTCAGGGCATATTAACTCTAATGGCAAAAAGATAAGGATTTTTTTTTTTTTTTTTTTTTTTGGGGGGCCAGCCAGTACAGGGATCTTAACCCATGACCTTGGGGTTACAAGGCTGTGCTCTAACCAGCTGAGTTAACTGGCCAGCCCTGAGGATTTTTTTTTTTTTTTTTTGATACTGGATGAGTCAGGCTTTATTTTCACTTGCTGTCTTTATAGTTCTCATATTTTTTATTGTTAATATCATAAATTGTTTATAAACAAAACAGTCATACTAGCATAGCCTATATTAAATTTTGTATGGCAGTAAATTAGTCAATCCAAATTTGAAAATGTTGCCACTGTTATTTTTATTTGGTGACCAAAAACAAATGAAGATAATACATAGAAGAAATGAAAATAATAAATTATCAGAAAAGATAAGGCTCTATACAATGTAAGGTATAGTATACAAAAATATCTTCAGATTATCAGTATACAGTAGTTGAAATTAAAGTATTAACTTATTTTTAGTATTGCCTCTTTGGGAAAGTAAATCTAAAATTAAAGCATTTGCTCCTTAGAAAATTATAATGGTTAGATACAGCCACCAGTAGATTTCTTGAATGATTTTCTCGACTTTTCAGATAAGTCTTTTACCACATACTTTTTCACATTAGCAAAAAAGAGTGGAATGTTATTAAATGTTTTGTTAAGCATGTATGGTGTGAACATTCACCTGAAAAGGATAATACTAGAAAAGAAAATTATAGACTACTTACAGATGTTGAAGCTAAGTCCTATTTAGAATAAAATGCCAGTTAAATAAATCAGAAATAAAATCTAGAAAAAGCATACTCGGTTAAGACTAACTTTAATCATGTGTCTTAAAGTTGGATTTTGGAAGTCCTAATTTGCAGTTATGTGACTAATTGCAATATGGTGACAAGGCCTTATGATTTCTAATACCTCAATATGCAGTTCTTTGTTACTCTCTTACATGAAAAGAATAATTCAGGTAGGTGTACATGATTATAAGAACTACACTGTAGGCTTGTAATTTTGTGGAATTTCAAAAAAGAACTTTTAGACATAAACCGTATAGAATATTATTTATCCATTTTTAATGAGCTGTTATTTTACTATTTTAAGCCCAAAAACCATTTGTCTCTGATTGGTATTAAAAGACTAACCAAAGATTATACTTACTTTCCAAAAGTGGTGGCATTAATTTTTTTTTTAATGTCATCAACTTTATCTACTTTCCTGGGTAAAGGAGTATTGTAGTGCCAATGTGTATCCTCTCAGTCTGAGACTTAGGAGTATCTCCAATTTTGTATGGCTATTTCGTACTTTTGGGAATATCTATCTTGCATATTCTCATAAGTTTCATTTCATTTTGGCATCTCAAGAAAAAGGCTTTACAAAGTGTTTCAGCTTTCTAAAGAGTGGTAGGACCATATTGACACTCATCTCTGTTATCCTTTTTTTTTTTTTTTAAGGGTAATGGGAATATTATTATAATGCTATTTATGTGTACTGTAAAACTAACCATAACATTATTTTTCTTTTTCCCCCTAGATTGATGAAGATCCTAGCCTTGTTCCAGAGGCAATTCAAGGTGGAACGTTTGGTTTCAATTCATCTGCCAATGTACCAACGGAAGGGTTCCAGTTTTAGAAAGATATTTTGGAAGTTAGGTACAATGCAGCACTGAAATATATATATATACATATATATAAAAAGGTTTGATCCATCAAGCTTGGCTCATGGGATCTGCTGCTGCATTAAATCGGGAAAGAAAATGTGAAGATTTCATTTGGAATCACAGAAAATACCCAAATGAGGTCAAGATGGCGAGTGGGTGCGAGTGAGAATGAGTGGCAAAAAGTAACAAAAACTTTACATGAATGCTTATTTAGGTTGTCCAAAGTAAAAGGGCTACAGGTCACAGTTCTTCAGTGCCTGAGAAGGAACATTGACTTACTCTATATCAACGGAGGGGAAAGTGCAGTATTGTCATCTTCAAGCCTTGTAAGCATGAAAGAATAGGATGCCCATAAGTCAAAGGAAAATGAGCCCAGGCCTTGCTATGAAGCAGTGTGTGAATGGACAATGTTGAATGAATGTCTGGCTCAGTGATGGAGAGCCAGGTTCATCTTTCAAATCTAGGGCTCTTCACTCATGAAGCAGACTCCTAGTCCTGGAGTGACTGTGTACGAGAGTGTGGTTGTGGTGCTGTATGTGAACGCATGCAAGCTTGATTCGCCTTCAGGGGGCTGATAACAAACCTAGTAAATCATCAAAGTGAGATCATAAGTGTTAATGTACACTGGACATGAAAACAAAGACCGGTTTAGCAGCAGACATTGGTTTACTCTGCAGCCTGTGTTTTCTATTTCCCCTCTTCCCTTTTCCCAACCTGCCCCCCCCCTTTTTTTTTAAAGTTTCTATTTACTTTACCTAGTATGGCTTTTTTTTTTAGTTGCTTCTCAAGTCAGAAAACTTTTCAGGAAGGTTTCCCTGTGCATTTGCACCAGATGAATGTTTGATGCTATGAAAAGCTTTCCATATCATCAAAACTAATTTGTGTAGATTTTTGCATGAAAAAAAATCATAAATTACCCTCAAAAATAGACTGTGTTGCAGTACACAAGTTGCCATAATAGTATAAAAGAGTAAAATGTGCTTAAAAAGCCATTCTTTTCATTTTCAGAGATAACATAAAGATCTTTGCATGAGGTAAATCTACAGCATAGTTCATTTTTAGATTTTGTTGAGTCCTGTAAAGAGGAAGGAGAAAAAGTTTCGGTTGTGGTAGAATACCGTGCTGTGTTTAAATGTTACTTGTTTTCAAACTTTGTTTTCTATGAAAATGATATGGAAACTTCTAAAATGGAATTTGGTGCATATGTACTGCTGAATAAAGACCGATGAAGAGGTTTGAGTAGATGTACAAATCAAGTAATGGTTTGAACACCTTTAATAATATGCCTAATCTGTTCAATTGTTTTAGAATCTTTTTATCTTAGAAGTAGGCAGCCATGAACAATCTATTTTGAGCCACTTTAGGGAGAAAACTTTGTATTTTTAAAACTTGCATAAAAGTTATGCAAGTGGTTTTTATAAATTGGAATAATACCTCAGTTTTGAGGTTATGCACACTAAATTAAATGTGACATAAATTAATTTGTACAAAAAGAACTCTTTATAAGGTGGCTCATTGTAGGAAATCCTGTGCCTTCCCCTTTGAGCACAAGTGTTGCATGAACAACAGTTTGCTATAAGAAACATACCAGATTAGCCACCATTAGCATCTATATCTACTTTGTGTTTAAAAATCAACTGGTAATTCTGAAACACTGTAGAATGGATAAAAATTATTTTGTGATCATAACTCTTTGTTGAACTAGAGTATTTTTGCAGCATTCCTTGTCATCAGAAACATGGTTAAAGTTTAAAACTAGAAGCAGCAGAAAACTAGCTTGTAAAATTTATCCAAGTAGAATGCAGGCTAGGCTGTCTTGGGGAAATAAACATTAAAACTTAAAGCAATGTTTTACATGGGGCGTGTATGTGTGGTGTGTGGATTTTTTTTTTATATACTAATGTAAAGTTAGAGTATAACTCAGTGGCTTATATTACCTTCTTAAGCTTTTTGCCTAGAACCAATGTAACAAAAAATTTCATAAATTCTGTAATTGCATTATAAACATAATAGCCCACTGAATTTGTTCAGTTGACACCATCTATGCTTCAGCTCTCTCCTTGTTCAAATCAGGATTTTGACCTTCCTTCACTCCAAGCAGTTTAAACTGAGATGACATGAACTATATTTTAAGTAGTACTATAACTTCAACATATGGCCCCAAATGATAGATTGCATACAAAGCGTGGTTTTAACAGAAAGCTTTAGTTACTGGAAGGTGAACATAACAGTACTTTGCATAATTTGTGTTTCTAAGTAAATAAAAATCTCATTTATAGTAAGCCAGTGAGCTTGTAATAGGCTAGTTATTTTATAGAATAGTTATCCTTATATATAAAATAGGTTGGAGTAATATTAACAAGGGCTACCTGGTGATTTAAGTATTTTATTTCTACCTATGGTCTCATATAGGTCATTGATTTTTTTTTTTAATAGAATTCTAGGAAGGGCTCTTCTGTGTCTGAAATTGTTTCAGTATAGCTAACAGTTCACCACAGTTACATGATTTAAACACAACTCTTTTTAAATTCTCAGTGATTTAGGAAATGGATTCATTTCTAACATAGACCATTATTTCTGGTGAGGGAAAAAAATGGAATAAATCTAATAAGTTAAATGTTTTTGACTTTTTTGTCTTAAACTGTCTTTTTTGAGCATTGGGCCCTTCTCAGTTGCTATAAAAGTTAAGAATACCTGCAAAAATATATATATACATATATATAAGAGCTGTGTGAGAAGCCGTAGTCTAAAATATATATTTTTTTGGTGGGGCGGGGGGAGGTGGCTAGTCAGTACAGGGATCCAAACCCTTGACCTAGGTATTATCAACACTGTTCCCTAACTAACTGAGCTAACCAGTCAGCATAAAATATATCTTTAAAGGTATTACTTGCTGTCTGATATTCAAAGACTTTAGTAATTGTGTGTCATGGTGGAATTCATACTTCCCATATTGCTCTGGACCAAATCTAGAGCATATCTATAATTGAAGCTATCTACTAATCATTAGAAATACATTTGGAAGGATGTGAGGGGTGTGGTGTAATTTAGTTTAAGCTTACCTTGACTACAATTCATAGGTTAAGGAGTTTTTCTGTGCTTTTTTAAAGGTGTAACTGCATTGTAAAATCACTGGGTTTATTATAACAAGTAATTTATGGGGTACCCTTTTTGAATTTTTCATTGCTTCAGTTCCCTCAAGAAAAAAGTTACAAAAATTAAGCTAAATTTTGGCTTTAAAAACTGGTTGCCATATAACAAATTACGACATTAGTGGCTTAAAACACCAAATATATTTGCTATTTCACAGTTTCTGTGGGTCAAGAGTCCAATTAGGGCTTAGCTAGGTCTCTGCTCAAGGTCTCACAGGGCTGCAATCAAATTGTCAGCCAGAGCACCAGAATTCTTGCAGCTGTAGAACGGGTAGCTTGATTCTTCAAGTCCAGCAGGAGAATTTCTAATCTCAGGGAAGGCCCTAAGCCCTCTTTTAAAGGGCTCACCTGATTAGGTCAGGCCCACCCTCCCACAGGATAATCTCCCTTTTGATTAACCCAAAGCCAGACTGATTAAGTACCTTAATTACATTTGCAAAATCCCTTCACCTTTGCCCTACATTGTAATCCAGTCACAAGGTGATATCCATCATATTTACAGATCCTGCCTGCATTCAAGGGAAGGGGCTATACAGGGTACATATATCAGGGCATCTTGGGAGCCATTTTAGATTTCTACCTACCATAAGGGAATATCAGTATTTAGAACTGGAGCGATGTAGATGTAATCACCTTATATAGTGCAAGCTTAGTTTTGGATCAAGGTCACCTGTGAGAACCTAATGAAAACTTGGACCAGCTTCCCCCCAAAAATACATGTGTGCAGTTTTCCATACAGTTTTAGAGGATCCGTAGGAATCCATGAATTAAGAGTATGATCTGTTACCCTCCCCTTCAGATGATACTTGTCAAAATGTGATATGCCCAAGGTCACACAGCTACTAAGGGCCACATAAGGCCCAGATCTCAACTCGTATCATTCAGTGCTTCCAATTACTATCATTTAGATTTTGTGAACCAATCCAAAAAATGTTTATGCAGTTTTTCCTAGCTTGTTTTGTATGCTCAGGAATGGCTAACATTGTTACAGAAGCTTACATAAATCTTGAAATTGTTTGACCTTTTTCAGATTTCAGAGTTGAATCTTTCATCGTAGCTATGAAGGTGAAGTATAAACAGGCCAATTTAGCTTTTATCAAAAGCATTTACTAATTGTTAACTCCTGAGCTTTGGCGAATTATTTACCTTTTTATGTATAAAATTTCCATTAGACTATATTGTTGACTATTTTGAAGTACAAGATATTTGAGGATTCTTAAACCTTTTTTTTGATTTTAACTCATGTTGGCAAAACTCATTAAATATCAGCCAATAATTTAATATGACAGGAAGGAAAAAATTTGTCCAGACATCTGATGCAAACACTATACTAGCAAATCTGTGCCTGACAAACTTGACATTTTGAAGATTTAAAGGAAAAAGGGTATGTAAAAAAAAATAGTACAGTAATAAAGTGTTGCTGCATAGATGCCTTTAAATCAAATCAAGGTGCACATCGATGGCCTTAGTGCAATCTTAATTCTTAGGTTAATAAAGAAAGATGAAAAAATGATTTGTAAAGCCTATATTCCAAAGTGTGAACTATAGTGTCTCATTTCACATTAATTATCACATCAGTCATGGATAGGGAAGGTAGATTTAACATTTTTTCCCCTAAAGCCTTAACCTAGCAGTTCAATTAGTTTTGAATATTCTTTCTAAGTCCTGGCTCTTTAGGTGACAAATTTTGTCCAGGATGTCCATGTCGAGTTGTACTGTTCATAAAATTAACTTGACAGCTACTACTTTGTGTATAAGAGCAGCTGAGTATGAAGAAAAGTAAATGTTCCTACAGATTCTTTCTAATCTACCTCCCACCAGAGGACTGCAGTACTCCCTTACAATCATTTATATTCTCTTTGCCCAAATTTCTGCCTTCTTTCCACAAGTTTTGTATTTTTTATAGTTCTAAATATGCTGCCTACTCCAGGTTACTTCGGTCTTCCACTTTTATTCTTTTTAAAAGAAATTTTTATAACCTTTTTCACTTAATTTTTTGTTCTTCAAGCATGAATCCTACTTTCACTGACCGTATCTTACCTCTGATGTGTGTAGCCAGTGGATTCCTTATCTGTGGTTACTCTCTAATTTTACCCAAGATTTCTTGCAGCTTTATTTTGAAACATCTGTTAAAATTTTCTGATAATTTGCTTTAATTTACCTTTTTGTGGCACTCTCAAACTCTAATTACCTGCCTTCCAGATAATTCCCTCAGTGTCCCGTCCTCTCCATTGCTCTGTTTTTGAGCCCTGTGAGCCAGCCGTTCCCCTATTTTTTGTGTACATAGTTACCTTTTTACTCTTTTTAGGTACAATGATAATATCCAACCCTTGGACTTGGTTAAGGAGGGTATCTCTCTCAAAAAAATCACTCCCTGTTTTGACTCATAATTGGCAAGGTAGAGAGGATCAAGATCAAGGTAACTATTCTTTCTCCTATGGTATTACCATACTTCTTGTTTCTTAGGGGTTGTCCCCCCAGTTCAACTCATTAGCAGGAAATTTATTACCCATTCTGGGTGTTTTCTACCTTTAACCATTTCCCTTTGTACCTGTATATTCTGCCATAAATCTAGTAGCTCCCAGTGTGATTTCAAGGTGTACCACCTGTGTAACTAGCAATTCTGCCATATCTGTATTGTTACATCCAGTCCAGTGGTCATTAGCATAGTGGCAGTTCTGGTCATCTTAACTTTTTCATTAAGTTACATACATAAATGTATATTGAACTGGTGCAGAGAAACTTGGGGGTTTTTTGGCTTTTACCTTTGAAACAGTTTAAGAATGGTCTAGGACAGCTGTTAAATTATCTAAATAGTAACTTTGTTCAAGTCTAAGTCACCTCATAATCAGAGGTGCTAAAGGAGTACTGAAAAGGTTCTGTTACCCCATTATCTCTCTCCCCATAGTCCTCATTTTGCAATTCTCCCCAGCTGCGGGTAGTAGGGAAAGAGAGAAGCAGAATATAGGAAGTGTCTTGTTTGCATCCTGGTTTTCTCAACTCCACTCTATGTCCCTTGAGTATTCTAAATATCTGTCCCCTTCAGGAAACCAAGAATAATCCAGGACTTTACCATCCTTGCCATCCCCATTAAGCCTTATTTTACGGTATGTGTTTTTTATGGTAATTTTTGAGTCTGTAGTGTCTGTTCACTCATTGCTCCATTACATCTGCATTTCTCTGTCTTTCAGCTAGATTGTAAGCTCCTTAAGGGCAAGGTCAGCATATAAGTAAAGCTCTGTAAACACCATGAAGGTGCCATGAGTTCTATGGGCACTCAATAAACATTTGTGATAATAATGATGCAACTTCTCACATGAACTGATTGTAGTGACTACTTATAAGTCTTCCTTTAGTTTGGGATTTTTTAATTTGCCTGAGGTTTTTAATTTAATCTGAGATTTGGAAGGCTTTCCTATAGGAAGAAAAGAGACTTTGTCCCTTGCCACGTGAATGTTCATTTCCTTATTTCCTTTTCCTCACTTTTAAATTTTTACCCAATGTCAGATCTGGATATCTGACATCATAGGATATTGAAGTGGATCCTCATGAGTTTTCAAATACCAGTTTTATGTACTGTGAAGCAGAGATAACCTAATATCATCTGATACTGTTGACATCATTCATTGTTTTGAAATATGTCGTTTATTGAAGTAACTTTCCGTTATAATAATAGATGTTTTTACAAAGAAAATATCCAAACCATGAA